AAACCGCTACGTAACAATTCAACTATAGTCCCTAGAAATCTTATTTGTTTGATTTCCTAGGACAAAATGTAAAAGTTGATACCAAACATGTAGCGTTTTCTTTAATGAGTGCCATTTTCTCTATCTACAATAGTATTCGCCAAAAGCGAAAAATATCGTTTTTTTTATCATGTTTAAGTCGACTGACGATTTCAGTTATATCGACTTGTAAGTAGATTTTGTCTAGCTAGTTTATTTTGTTGTCTTAAGTTTCTATCTGTTCATGCTGTTATACTTTTCAATATTTGGACTTGCTGATCATTTTAGCTATGGACAATTTCTCTCTGTCGACTAAAGTTTTCGCCAAAAACAAAAAGATTAAAATTATATGTTATTGAAAGAAATTAATACTTAAAATGACTTAACTAATGATTTCTGTCATTTGTCTAATTTTTAGATTTAACTGATCAAACGATAGTGTGAGCTAATACTTATATTTGTCGTCCAACGTCTGTCGTCGTTGTCGTTTATCAGTCGTCGTCATTTTTCGTTTGTTTTCTTTTTTTTTAAATCTTCTCCTCTGAAACAACTGTCCCACAAGAGACCAAATGACACAGAAGTTAACAACTATATCACCGTACGGCCTTCAACAACGAGCAAAGTTATTTTAAATCATATGTTTAAGTTCATTGATTGAATGTTAAACAGATATAGATTAATTGGACCAACTCCAAACCGCAATAGATTTTCGTATCTTTATATATTCATCAATTTATGACATCATGCGCGGTGTTGCAATTTTTAAATCTTTTTTTTTTTAAAGATTTTTGGATATAAGCGAAATTGTGCGTAATTAGTATACAAGTAAAATTATTTGTTCAGATTTGATTTGATTTTATTTATAATGTTTTAATTTTGTTCAGATGTTTTATATCGGGATGCTAATCGGGTGATAGTCAAAAATATAATCTGGTATATATGTTCATATTGGGGGTCTTAAAATCAATCGTGTATTTTACCCGTGACTTGTAAACCGATCAAGCACTTACAATCAAGTAACAATGTAGGAAACAGCTGGCATCCCACTTCAAAATTTGTGAGGTTAACGAGCCGATTCTTGAAACTCACTAGTTTTGCAACGTCACAACTATGGAACGTCAATGCGGTGTTGGTACGACAAAACAAGTAAAAAGACTCTTGACCCCAAGCTTCCATTTTGAAATATTCAAACTTTGTGTTAAGTAAGTACATGTAGTGAAGCTGACAACATCGAAATCAGAAATATTTCATTAAAAAGTAATAACATTGAAGATAAAAATAAGTTACGGAAATAACGAAATACCTTGTGTCTGAAGTATAATCTTAATTTTTCATATACGATACCGATTGAAATATATATACAATATATGTACATTGTCGGAAAATATAAAATTTATTTGTATGAGCTTTAGAAACAGGATGAAAAGTTTCGTAGCGAGTACAAATATATTTGATATTTTCCGACAATGTACATACATGTATATTGTTTTTATCCTGAAATTTACACCCAACACTTGAAACTTTAGTTGTTAAAATCTAAATCATTGTCTATAATTTTTCAAAGAAATCGTCATAGTTTAAACGCGGACCGCGAAGAGGACCCCAAAATGAACTGGTACGCAACAAGAAATATCCATATTACCGCTTGCTCAACATGGAAGCGGGGTAACATTAGACTTTATTTGTACAAGTACAAATAAAGCAAAAATTTATTTGTGTACCTGTCATTTGTACAATAGTTAGCTGATTGCAGGATAAAAGTGAATAATAAATAAACCGAACGGTTTCTAATAAGTCAAATAGACTTTACCAGCACCTACGCATACACAAGTGTTGAGTACTCATCAATGAGTAATTACTATATCAAAGAAGAATAAGTCAATAGGACAGTTACCCAAACACAATAAATCACAACAACACTCGTGCAAAAAAAAAAGTAGCGCAAACAAAGTTTGCCGACAGCCCGCCATGATCAATGGACGCCAGATTCTAATAAAAAAATATTCACAAATATTGTTATTGCAATGCATATATAATCCAAATCATACAATTCCAATTTATATAATAATCCTAAATACAGCAAAACAAAACAAAACCAACATTGACTAAATACACCCCTTTATAGACGGTCATGGCTGCCAAGAACAACTAAAGATATAAAACGATATAATCGATCAAAAAGCTCTAGGAACATGTGTCAAACGATCTAAAGTGCGCAATCCCGTCTCCATATTCAGGTGCTCGGACCTACACCCTAAAAATGTGTGTATTGTTTGACAAGGTTTTGAGTAATACCCAAATAAACTTCTACTGAACTTTGATACATAAAAAAGAAGAAACTTTATGTATAGAAATAAGGAGATGTGGTATAATTTTCAATGAGATTTATATTCACCAGAGACAACAAAAGAACGAGGATGTAAATAGCAGTAGATCCCCATAGAGCCTTGGAAAAAGGAATCTTTTTCAAACTACAAATACAGAATCAGAATAGACTGTATTTCCGAAAAAGACCATTAGCAATGGTTAAACCACAGCAGTATATTTATAACTTTCTCATTATGTATATTAAACAAAAAGGATAAATTTGAAATCAGCACAATAAACAGAGGTTCCTGATTTTGGACAGGCATATGGTTATATGGCGGAGTTAAATTTTTTTTTTTTAAACTGTAAATTTATCTATAATTGTGACCTATTCCCGATACAATTTGAGTGAGGATGGATTCGCATGGCGGGTGATGCATGCATAGTAGGAGACGCTTACCTTGTCGACGCACCCGGTCTCGCTCCTTTCAGAGTTCATGGGATTCCCTCAGAGTTTGATTTTACTTTGGTTTGTAGCTTCTGAATGAATGAAGAAGATTTGAATATTAATAAACTACTGTACGTTAGTCTCTAATTTATATAAACAAATAAACAACCCATAAAATGTTAAATACAATGTCATTTATGTTACATAACCTAGCCATACAATTATTTTATACTTTCAAATCAAATTGTCATGCATATAATACCTTATCATTTGCAATATGCTCAACGTAGATGCATGGTTAGTTAGATCTTAGACTGTGCAGTTCCCATTGTCATGTTTAACTTGATTGGAAATAAGCAACTATGAACATGCTAAAAAATTTCAAAAATCGAATTGTTAGCTTAAAAAGACGACACTAGTTCTTTTCTTATTTCAAGTTATTAATTTATATTCTAATTCTCATTCTTACATGTTTGATCATAAAAGTTCCGAGAACACAGTTATTTTGCAAATTTAAAAAATCGCACCTGCACTTTTTCGATAATATTTTTACAGTGTGTGTACTACTTTCGGGACAAATTATATCAAAATAATAGAAAACTTCATCAATTTTAACTTAAATTATGGACAAATATATATGGTCTTGAATTCTGTTTAACAGCTTCAGACATACTTTTTTTTAACATTTTCCAATTGGACCAATTCAATAATTTACTTTAAAATTCATGACCCAGATTTTTTCGAATGACATTTCACCTCCCTGCTTGCTATTTGTGGCATAAAATATAAAGAAATGAATTAAGAAGGGGTATAACAAAAAATGCACTGTTCACACTAAGGACTATATTTGTTAACTGTGTTCCCGAATCAACAATTGTGTTATACAGTTTTGTACTTTTTGAAATCAAATGTTCATTTGTCATACGCTCATTGTAGATGCATGAGTAGCTAGGTCTAAAAATGTGCAATTCTAATTTTTATGTTGAAATAAAAATAGAATTTTTTGAAATAAAAATTATAAAAACAATGAAAATAAAAGTGGAGTGGGTTATCTTTTTACGACAACTCCAGTTCTTTTTATGTCAAGTTCTATATTTACATTTCAGTTATTACATGACCATGTACATTGAATTTCTGCAATGGTGTTAAGCACTTACATATTTAGATCCTTGCTTATTACTGTCATTACGTACCTACTATGGAAAATCAGAGCATTTATGATAAAATACAGACGGTGGCGAACAGCAACATTTGGACAAAGTATAACAACTCTTGGTCCGATTCATCCTATATGGGGCTCTCTGCATTTGGTAAGTACATATGTACTAGTTGTGAAGAAAAGGCTTAAGGAGGAAATGAGTAATGAATACAAATAAAAGGAGATGTGTCAATGAGACAGCAATCCAACAACAAAAATACCCATTAGACACCTAGAGGGCAACATAGTCTTCAAAAACAATAGACAAGTGTAAATGCAATATATCAAGCTATAAATCGGCCTGAGTCTATAAAAGTTGAAATTAAGTGAAAATTATTCAAATGATGCACAAATAACTTTATAGATAACTAATAGACTAAAAATTGCGACTCTTTTAAACTACTTAAGGAATGACTGTAATATTTTTCCTGTCTATGAAGAAATAACCTAAAAAATGTGGTGCACACAGAATAACCCGCGGGTTATTTTAAAGTGTGCACCACATTTTTTGTTATTTCGAATAGACAGAAAAATATTACAGTTATTTCTTATAATTTAGTTCTCAATTCCATTTTAAACCGTAGTAAACCATGAAAAAACGTTGATGACGTCATGGTCACATAACAAAATTATGTCTATGAGCTGATAAACAAAACAAGGTCAGCCAATCAGAAGACGCGTTACATCCAAAATTAAATTATATAATGATAAAACCGATGATAACAACTACATCTGACCTGATCATGAGCTCTTACAAGATTCGATTGAATTACCTTCTGCTTGTAGTTTCATGATCTGGCATCCTATTTCAAACTCCTTTGACAGATTGTTGAAAAGGAAAGACCCAAGGTATATGTTTATTGGAGTATGTTTTTCTATGCCAGTTTTGGAGTCTGTCATCCGGACTCGGCACAGATACTGTATAAATCTTCAGCACCAAAAGCTTATGGTAGCGGAGGGGCATACAGATATCTACGAGATTGGATAGGTAGGTTGAATTCCATACATTTGGTATCAAAGACTCAAACTATGGGTAAGTAAATTAATTCGAAGCTCAAACTCTCAAATTTGTCAAGAAAGGCGAACACCGTTTAGAGAACCAAATAGTCCACAAATTCCTTATCAAATTGTACCGAATTATGTTAACTATATAAACCAGAAATACGAGAGAGCTTTATGGATTCTTATAGATGAAGTACATTAAGGTGAGTAATACGTAATTTGGGCGATATATTTTGTATTTTTGAAATTGACCAAAAGAGACATAAAATGGACAGCTAAATTCATCTGCGGTCACCTTACCTGAGGGAGTTGAAAATAAAGTTTTTAAATAGTTTCCTAAAATATCAAAGAAAGAGACTTATCACTGAGTTTGCACTTAAATAAGCAACACGAAGAGAGTAACGTGTGGAGCAGAATCTGCACTCCCTTCCGAAGCACCCGAAATCACGCGAGTCTTTAGGTTTCTATATTGTTTTTTAGAGACTGTTTGTTTCTTTGTCAATTTTCATCTTTTGTCATAACGTTGTCGGTTTGTCTATGACTGATGAACTCAAATATCCATTTGGTATCTTCTGTCTCTCTTATTAACAGGAAATTTTTGAATAGCATGTTATAAATCCTGAGATGATGATATCCTTTGATCTAGTAAGCATGTCCTCTTGACTTTTATGACTGTTATACGCAACTATTTGTTTACACATTCATTCTGAAAACTGCAGTAATATATAAAAATAAGGTGATGTGGTATGATTGCCAATGATACAACTATCCACCAAAGTTCAAATGAAGTGGATGTAAGCAATTATAGGCAACCGTACGCCTTCAACAATTAGAAAAATTAATACCGTATAGTCGGAAATAAAAGGCACCAACATGAAAAATGGGGAACAATTCAATTGAGAAAACAAATGGCCTAACTCATAACAAAACAATTTACGAAAACAAATATGCCAGACATGAACCAACGACAACCACTGAACTACAGGATCCTGACTTGATACAGGCACGTAAAGAGTGTGGCGGTGTTAAACATTGTTGTGGGTGCCTAACCCTCCCCCTAATCTGGGACAGTGGTATAACAGTATACACCTATTGACTGGTTATGAGGGTAATATCAAGTTTGTTGTCCCTGAGATACCAACTATTGCTCGAGGCGAAGCCGAGTGTCATAGTTAGTATCAAAGGGACAAGAAACTTGCTAAGACCCTCATAACCAGTCATTAAGTGTTTTATAGTACCGAAATTTTCTAAAAAGACTACATACATCACTTGAAAAAAACCAAATAGTCACATAAACATGCACAAGATGAACTATCAGTTTTTTTTTTTTGCCCGTGTGGTATTTGTCAATATTTTATTTACTTTAATTATGACCAGGAATCGTTGTGTAAAAATTCGCTTACATATAATTAATGCTAGCTAAATATATATTACCATGCATACACCAAAGCAATCCCAGATTATGAAGACGACGACAGACCCATACCATATATTTGTAATGTATTAATTTTTAAAATATGTCATGTAGATTTTTCTTTTTCTTTTTTAAATTGCTGCTGGTAAGTTATATCTTAATTTGAAATTACGACTGCAGACACCTACAAATTATACCGTTTACGGTATTTCAGAGTTTAACGTTGCCAAGCGCACAAATCCAAGCAGAATAGTCAATGACGTCATTGTTGTCCAATGAAACATTAGCATGAAAAAGTACGGGAATCATGTTTATAAAACTATTGACTGGGGTAATAGTCTTTGAAACTATTGACTAGCAAATAGTCTGTGGAATGAAATATTTTATTTTTTTTTATATAGAAAAAACATACTGAGGTATACTAACACAAAATATGAAAAAAGTATAAAAATCAGTCGAAAAGGGCTTAACTCTTCAGATCGATAGAAAGTAGAAAAACTAGTAACAAAAACACAGACCGGACGTGGCAGGGTATTACATCCACCACAACACAAAAGACACAAAGTACAGATCTGAGAGTACTCGCAGTTACTGACAGCTAGTTCAAAGCCAAAAACAACTAATAAACACCATGTATCTAAGACTAAAATATCAATCAGTACACATCCAACATCCAATAGATTTAGTGTAAAGACGGAATTACAGTCAGAGAAAAAATTGACCTTGTGCAAAATGAATGGCAAAATATAGAAATCGACAGATTGTAGTACTGTGAATTGCCAGTCTTTCAGAATACGCGTTTTTGTTTTACATTTAGGGCCTATATGGAATATGTTAAGTTATTCAACAACAGTGATATTTTCTTTGTCCTTTGACTTTCTGTGCTACATAAACTAAAAGCATCTGTAATACTCTCATTAACATTATCATGGTGGTGGAGGGGGTGAGGAGGACGATTACGATGATGATGACGTTGTTAATGACTACGATATGATGATAGATGATAGTGATTTAAGTGCTAACTCTATAAATTAATAAAATGCAATTAGTGATTATTTATAGAATAACTAATCGAAGAATTCAAATAGAGAAAAATATTTTCGAGTGACCGAACAACACATTAATTCACGAATGCGCGTAGCGCATGAGTTAATTATCAGTGTTGTTCGGTCACGAGTTGAATATTTTTCGATATCTGAATTCTTTGATTAGTTATTCTTTTTATTACATTGGCAAATGGCATTTTTTAATGAAATTAATGTGAAAAATGTAAGGAACTATATCTTTTTTCTACGCATTCACAGTTTGTTTTGATCCGAAGTTATCGACGTCTTGACAACGCCTATTGTTGTATGCCGTCAGAGAGTGAAATAACCACGTTTATTTCACATCTGAAATTATCGGTTTTTATTGACTGGGAAATCAATATAATTCATTGCTACCAATGTAATAAAAAGAATTCAACATTAAGGCATTTTTTTTTATCTAGGCGACGGTTTGTTGATATCTGATGGAAAGGATGGGAACGGAATAGACGACTTTTGACCCCTGGCTTCCATTTTGAAATACTCAAACCATACGTTAAAGTATATAACAGTGTTACAGATATATTTCTTGTAAGTAAAGTAGCATTTTCCAAAATCGAAAATGTTAGAGAAAAAATAAGGAAAATCATATTTTATTTTTAATAGCGACATTGCCTTATATATGAAATATAATGTCATATTGAGCTATACATATTAATTAAAATACATTGGTTATTGCCTTACATCTTACAGCAAATACAACATGCATTCATTACAGTAACATATTAACTTGATAGCAATACTACCCTGCTTCTACAAAACCCACTTTCAGCGCCGTAATGATGTCACCTTTTCATTACATTATTATACCAAATCCGAACATACCAGCCTTTGCCCATGCTGCTATTTGCTGCATTTTCTGGCGATTTTTAAATGAATGTCTTTAATTATACCCGACTTGCATCTTCCACTCTCCAGGCGAGCACATCTAACTACCAAGCCGTCATGTTTTGCGTAAGAGCTAGAATAGGGAAGACAAAATTGTGCAGCTGATCTCAATATAATGAACGGAGATTTGGTGTTAACGTCAATGACGCATATACCTACGACAAAGAGAACCAAAGGACCACTTGAGATCAAGATAACACTTTCAACAATTGACAGTTGCCTATACAGTATATCTTGCTCTTATTTACCCGTCTCTACGATAGTTAAATTCTTTATATTTGAATTATATTTGAATTTTAGTAAAGATTTGATAAACAAAATTTGGCAAATGACCCTTGTATGATATAAATTCAGGAGAACTTGGCCAAAGCCATAGCCGGCCTCGGAAACAGACTATCAAAAATAAAGCATCGAAAATAAATTCCACGTAGGTTCTTGGTTCATTAGTTCCACGGTGGCAACCAAAAATCGTTGATAAGTGGAATTTGAAGTAAAGAATCGTATTAATAACGAAAAATTGCAGAAAAGTATAAAGAGTAAGTAGTGTTAACTTACAATAGCATTTCTTAGCGATGCCAAATTCGAAGTTTTTTAAAATGTTATTTCGTTTCCATAATTTAATAGGAAAAACTGAAGTATTATGCCAAAAGTGGCAAGGCAGTAGACATATTCCCGAGCGTAGCTCTAGCAACTTTAGACACAATATTTAGATGTGCATTTTCATACCATGGAAATATTCAAGACCAGGGGTGAGTAGGTATTATAGGAATATAATATCGATACAAGAGTTTCCTACAGTTTTGTAATGAAGGAAATTTATCTTTTGTTTTTTTTATTTTAAATTACTTTCATGCCACGCTTACGGTAGTAGGGGGAATTGTGTTTTTGAGTCTATGTGTACGTCCATCCATCCGGCAGTCTGTCCGTCCGTCCGTTAGATTTTAGTTCGATGCGTCTTTGTGTTTAAAAACAATGAAGAAAACCTTTATTCCTTTGTTTTTGATATTTTTTTCTGAAACTTCTGCATTACATTGTACAATTATTATCATAATCAACTTGACTATTTAAAAAGTAGCTTAATAAATTAAGGCAACAGTAACGTACCGATGCTCAAATCTCATAAACTGATAAAGGGCATACGATACTGTTACAGGGGAGGTAATGACGTTGCTAACGTAAATTGTGATTTTTCGCGATGCAAACGATGACATATCGGGAAAAGATGCATCTTCCGACTGATACACAAATGTAAATCATTCGCTTGAAAATGCGTACATGGACCCTCTTTTAATAAAACAACATTTGGCTTGAATATGTATGCAGATTATTTGTACCATTTTTATGAACAAATCACCAATGAATTCTTTTTAATTCAGATAAATATACTGCAAAAATGCCGTTTTGTTTTCTAAAATCATAAAAATTTAATACAAATCAAATATTTCCAAAGAACTATTACACAAATTAAGAGTAATTTTGTATATTCTACCAAATATAAAATACAAGCCATAAACGAATAGCAACGTCTTATAATTTTCATTGCTACAGATCAAAACATCCCTACGTACATGCTGTAAACAGATTGTCGTATTTAACGCTGTCGAGGTGCTTGTAAGTATATGAATTGAACGGAGAACATCTGTGATAAGTTGTCACATATTAAGACGTATATAGTAGTAATATTGATGTGACTGCATGTAAGATTATCGTCCTTTACGACAGGCAAATGCAGATGATCTGCAAAAAGGAGACGGAAGATACCAATGGGACATTCAAAACTAATACTTCGAAGAGAAACCGACAACGCCATGGCAAAACACGAAAAGACGGCGAAAAGACATACAAGTCAACAAAACACTACATAGAAAACTAACGACGGTACAACGCGAAACCCCACCTTAAACTAGGTTATGCAAGGTATGCCATCTACTTGCAACAATACATCATGTACTATGGTTCAACCCTAAATGAAGCCGACAAGGAAAGATATTACTTTAATAACGCAAGCTAGAGTTCTTATAGTGCAGGCAGTATTGCCATTGTATCACGAATTCAGATGGTCGAATACCGCTGAGGGAAGAACAAAATTTTCAGACAATTTAGTTTTGTAAAACCATAGATTATCCGATGGAGAACGTCTGTAATTTTCTATGTACCTATCCTCAATCTGTGGATTCATTTTAAAAGGTCTGTTCGCTCCGTTAGGAAAGACCTTGTTGTTTTTCTAATGTTTTTTTTTTCTTCCAGCATTTTTTTTTACATGCCCTCCCCTCGTTTCTATTTAAGTTATCAAGACCAAATATGGACCATCGATAGACCGCATCATGAAGTATTACCAGATGACCCTGCGAAGGATTTCATTATCCCCTTTAGAAGTTATCTCCCTTTTATTGTTTTTTTTTCAACATAGCCCCTCTCGTTGTTTTTAAAGATATCATGACATTATTTGTATAATAGGTAGATCACATCATGATGCATTACCATATGAGGCTGCGTAGGATTTCATCATCCCCTTCGAGAGTTATATCCCCTTGATGTAATTTCTTTTATTTGCACTTTTCTTAAAATGTATTAGAGATAGAATCGAATTTAAAATGGCTGCATGTACAAGAACTAAATAATTGATATTGCATCATTTTTGGCACTTTGCCATATGCGGTCATTTGGTATATCAAACTGAAGGTTTAAATGAGGTCTACTCAAAAATGAAAATTTTAAACCCCTTTTTCATCCCAGTGGGAAGGGTGGGGTCATTTAGTGCAAAAATTTCAAACTTCTCAGATGGTTAGGTTGTCACATATCAAATGAAAGTCCATAAAGCGTACATTTCAAATATAAAACTGACGTCCCCCAAAAAAGGGTTGGGTGGGGTCATTGAGTACAAAAAATAAAATGTCTCATAAGGTAAGGTTGTTGTACATATCAAATGAAAGATCATAATGTGTACATTTCAAATACAGAATTCCTCTCCTCCAAAAGTGAGTCAGATGGGGTTGTTCAGTGCAAAAATCAAACTTTTTAGAATATGGTGTTGTCGAATAGCAAATGAAAGGTCACCAAGTCCACATTACACATATCGTACTTACGATCTAGCAAATTAAGGTGGATAGGGTCATTAAGTGCAAAAAGTGAAAAGTTTCAGAAGCTATGCTTGTCGCATTTCAAATGAAAGGTCGTAAAGAGTGCATTACAAATATCAGACTTTAAATGGAAAGACCTTTCAATTGTTTTACAAATATTTAACAGAGAAGCACAAAAAAGCATATATCACATTTAACAACCTCGTTCATTGCTTACTTATTTTTGTATTTTATTTATGTATGCCAAATCAACCCATAAAGGATCGAGGTATTTTAAGCACTGGGACCGAATCGTAATTTTAACATTAACTCTGGCGTAGAATTGACATTAAACAATAGCCATTTTTCCTGAAAATGTTGGAACCTTAGTTTTTTATCAATAAATATTTTTATCAACTGTATGTTTGTTACATTCTAGAAGAAAGAAGGACTACCAACAAAGCGCCATCTTACTTTTTTTGATATACTACTTACAGCTAAAGATGAAAATGGAATAGGACTTTCTGATGAAGATATAAGAGCTGAAGTGGAGACGTTTATGTTTTAAGGTGACTGTTTAGAGATGAAGTTTTAATGTTTGAGTATAAACTCGTAGAAAAAGAAAATACCATAAGCCAATGATAAGTAATAAAAACTGAAGCTGCAAAACCAATACACTTAAAAAAGCAAAAGACAATACGACAAACCATTATATAATTAAAAAACCGTTACGACATAAACTAAATATTAAGCAACACAAACACTTGCCAGTAAAAATAGAGTTGAACTGGTCATGCATGGAAAGGATAGACTGTTTGTGTAACACTAATGACATAACCCCGTTGTGCTCTTTTACTGATGTTCACTGGTATATATGAGAAGCAAGCACCCAGTGAAATATGGTGTATTGAGTTACAAGACATCATCAATATATCTAAAGGTGGAATTAAAGAATTTGGTAAATTTCTTTTTCTTTTTGTATATGAGAAGGTTGCGTATCACGTCTACTTTTCTGGTAAATTTGACTTGCTTTCTAGAAACATTCTGATCTGTAAACATATTCTGTGTCAGGTTAACTAAGACCAGTCATTATGTCATGGTGGTAAAATTAGCATGCTGTTCAGTGTTTCTTTAAATGTACATGAACGACAATTTGTGCATACTTGTTATTTGCAGGTCATGATACCGTTGCTTCTGCAATTAGCTGGTCTTTATACTGTTTAGGAAGATATCAAAAGGAGCAGGAAAAAGTATATACTGAAATATCAGAGTTACTAGAAGATACATGAGGGGTAACGTGGTACGTCTTATTGAAAATAAAACATGGAGAATGATTTTATTGTTAAACAAAAGAAACAAAAAATACCATTACATAATAATCTAGCGGCGAATGCTGTCCTTTCAAACTAAATGAGTTAACAATAGTGTAAATTACTTATTCTATATTTTCCTGTATGATGAATTAAAGACAATGCTTGTTCCTTTTCTTTTACATCAATGATTTTATCTGTTTTTCTTCGAACTATAAATTATGTTTATCCAATTTGTATCTTTTCATTTTCAATTTTAATAATTCACAAAAGTCAGTACTAAAACTATATTTTGATTTCCATGGTCATTTATGTCATGAACAGAACAGTGCATGGCTTGTCAACCTGGAACCCATGTCATAATTACACTGGCTGGTCCCAGATGAAGATACTATTGATACTTCAGACTAACAAATTGCTAGGATTTGTTAACTTTTTTTTTAAAATTTGAGTCGAGTATACGTATGTATTGAAATTAAAGAAGATGAACATAATTTGGCCCCTTAAATTGCAAATGTTGTAAATTAACTCATCAGAGATACCAGGATTGAAATTTTGTATTTGCGCCTTGCTCATTTAAAAATTATATAAATTGAATTGTTAAATGAACATCGTTTTATCAATTTAGCACACAAATGACACTATTTTATGATAAATTATATTTTATCAAAAAAAAAATTAATTCAAGACGTTTAGCATCCTGAAGCAAATATATATGCTAGATGAAATGCAACGTTATGATTGATATCTGGCAGAGCAATTTCGTGTGAACAACTGACGGGGAGTAATATCAGAAATATATGTGTCATACATTGTGATGATACCCTTTGTTGACCTGTCAATTTGTTTTTTTTTTTAATTCAGGGAAAATCTTCAGGAGATGCCCCGCCTTACAGCTTTTGTGAAAGAATCAATGAGAATGTTTGCACCAGTACCGGGAACAGCACGTCTACTGACGTCACCAATGAAGTTTGGTGATATTATTGTACCCGCTGGTGTTCATATAGATATTAGCATTCACTCGATTCATCACCATCCAGATGTTTGGCCTGAACACGAGGTAAATCTTCCAAAAACTCTGTGAATCTGTATCCTCTTTATATTATTGACGTCATAAATAAAACACTGCGGAAACGTATTGTCAACGTCATAAGCTAGGCAATGAACGGTCATTGACTACATCAAAATGAATATACAGCCTGCTCAGTTTGATTGAATCAATACATTTAGTACAGTTGCAGTATATAAAATAATCTCTGTGAAGCGTGGTATTGAAGACAAAAACAAAACCGGTTACTATTAGTAACGTTCCTTCGAATTTGAACTCGGATCAGAGCAAATGTTTTTGGGAAAAAATGAATGACAAATTTCTCTTGTGGCATATTAAATTATGTTCCGGTTTGGATTTCGATACATTGTATATTAAATTATCATTGGTAAGATCACAATTTCGTTTTATGATTCAATCATTATTCAAATTATGTGTGAAAAACGTTTTTGACTATGGAAGATTTAAAAGACTTCTCGAATGTATTGTTCGATGATAGCACAGTCATTTAAGTAGCGTCATGTTGTTGACAACGCCACGATGTTTGTAATAACATGAAACTTCGACATTTTGATGTATAATTTAACCTTTATTTCAGTAAAACGCCTAACGAAATGTCAGTTTAGATATTTTCAAAATTAAGTATCATGCGCAACCTATTTTTGATTGGTCAGTATACTATTATCCCTTATGTGTGCTTTTGCACATGAATTCAATCTCTGCTACTGTTATTTAGTAAAGGCTGTTAATATGTATAACAGCATTGCTAAAGTGTAATCTTTTTGGCCTCATTATTATTCATTTCCATGAAATTTGTATTTGTCTGTTATTCCTGCATAGAAAGAATATTCAATTAAATGGTATACTATTTTTTTTCTTCTTTTTCTTTTTTGCCATGGCGTTGTCAGTTTATTTTCGACTTATGAATTTGAATGTCTCTTTGGTATCTTTCGCCTATCTTAAACAATCATGAGACTTCAAAATATTTTTATCATTTGTTTTACTTTTATTCATAATATCTGATGCTATATTTTCAGGTATTTAAACCGGAAAGATTTTTAAAGGAAGATAGAACTAACAGATATCATTACAGCTACATACCATTTGCTGCAGGATCAAGGTAAAGGAGTAAAAACATGAAAACAACACTTTATTTAGTCCATGCTTCCGAAGCGATTTTCTAGATTTACCTTCATCAGGAACGCTCATAGGCAAATATACGGACGATTCGTTTCAATACAAAAATATGTTGAAAATGATTCTGTATTTATAATTATGGACTCGGGTTAAAAAATGTTTCATAACGAGATTATATGTACGTATGGTATGTTACTTATTCACAACTTTTCTAGAATCGTTGCGATTATGAATCTAGAGTTTCGCTTTGATGTATTGTTTTGTCACTTTCCTACAGTTGATTGATTGAGTGTAGCTTGCTGAACGTCCAGCGTCTTAAGTTTAATTAAATGTAATATTGTTTTTTGTTATGACATTTAGGCTGTTGGTTCATTGACGAAAAACTCCACTCCTGCTTTCATCTTTGTCTTATTTCAGGAATTGTATTGGGCAAAATTTTGCAATGAACGAAATAGAAGTTATCATTAGCAGATTAGTTCAGAGGTTTGTAGATGTTATTAATCAATGAAATAAAACTTGTGTTGACAATATTTTGTGGCATTTTATAGTTCACAGTAAAAACAACAACAAAAACAAAAACAAAAGTAAGATAATAGAATAAACAAACTAATAACAACGAAACATAGATCCGAGTATCATATATATTTATTTGAATTACCATTCAATAAGTCAAGACAATAATTTTTAAAATCTAAATGATCATACAGACGGACAATATACATGCAATATAAATCTTGTCAATAACACAGACATGACTGAAAACAGACGAACAACAGTAAATACGACGTTGACGTTTACACATCATGAAACGCCGCACGATATCAAATGCCCGCAATTGCTTACTCGCCAGAGATTAATTAAACCCGACACAACGAAGTAGTGCGGATAAATAATGTTTGTTCATCCATCCGTCAAATGATAGAAAAGACCAAATTTGTGCAGGAAAGTGGTTTCCAGATGCTGAAAATAGTAAATGTCTACATGATAGAAAACATTTATATTTTCATTACTGTAATGTTTATATTTTAATGCTACAAGGGGATAATAATTTCTCCTCCTTGTTGTTCAGTTATGCTGAATCAACCCTGATCTACATAAATTTCAGTGATTTTGACTTGCCGTTTTGAATAAAACATACCTTCTTATATATAAGATAGGGATATCGTGCAACACAAGTTCTTGGGTAGCAATATATTAATTAATTATATCAATTAATGAGAATAGTTTAATTTTTATTTTAGATACAAAGTATCATTGGTAGATGGCCATAATTATGAAATCAATCCAGAACTGATTATGAGGGCAACACATGGAATCAAAGTATTATTGGAAAATCCTTTGATGGAGAAGGAGTGGCAAATCGTATAATAGCTGATGGAATTTATAAACAGAACAGTTTACCCATAAACATTAGAAATACTTAAACTACGTAGATGGATATCCTGAAAAAAATTAATTCATTACTAAAGCACCAAAAAATCTTTTGTAAAGCATATAACTGTCATCAGCTTTTTTTAATTTTGGATATGTTAGTTGAATTCTCTCCTTGTCATTGGTTATTTTGTTACTTGAGTTCAATTATCGGTGTAATGTATTATATAAACTCATCATAGATACCGAATCACAAATATTTGTACTGACATCAGGCACTGGGAATACTCAAGGGAAAATTAGAGCGACAGAGAAGACGATAGTTTGGAATTGCCTGACCCTAATCTAATCTGAAATATTATACAATTACCTCAATTATACAGATGTATTAGCTTTATAATCGATTTTATAAATAAAAAAAAAACAGATGTGAGATATTCGTTAATGCGTTCAAACTACAAAAAAAAAGACTAAGAAAACAACAGATATCTCCAGGGCAACAGGCAAAGAATTTCCAACTACTAGTGAACATTTTATCACCGTCATAATAGCCCATTTTAGCGCCACGTTTTCCCGTTCGCCTGTATTTTCAATGACACATTTTTCGAATAATTTATGGGAATGAACAATACTTAAGTTGGTTTGATTATAAATAAATCTTGTTAAAATAAATAAAATAGAAAGGTGCAATTTCTGAGATTCCAATGTCGGATTTGCAAAGTATTGAGAGACGAAGATATCCAGTCAAGATAAAGAATAGTTATTACTGCAATTCTATATATGCTCAATGTTTTAGAGAGGATATAAGAGCCCACTATTAACGATCACTAGATTATAAATTCACACATGGATACGTCAAAACCTTGTATAAATACGAATATTTTAGAGAGGTACACAGAAGAAATCACTAAGCACATGGAAGACAAAAAATTAAGCAAATGAAAACTCAAAGGATGTTAAAATCATGTACATATACTGTAAATCATTTAACAAAAACTTGGCTTGGTATGTGTAATATATGGGAAGTCACAATGCACTCCCCGATTATTATTACTATTCCCATTGAAAAACATGGATAAAAATAAATCGTCGGCTGTTAAATTATCGCATCTGTAGATTATTATTAACGACATGACAATAGTCGCTCCTTGTCTTGCTTCTTAATTTTCGTAACTATTTCTTGCTGTTTTCCAAATTTTGTTATCCAATTATATTGTAGAAATGTACTGATATGATTGGTTGTTAGATCAGTTGTTGGGTATTGTCCATGATCTTTTGATGAGATTAAAAAAAAGAATGCAGAACACCCTACTTTGAAAATTCCTCACTCCGTTTTTATCCAAAATCATAGGTGACAAATTTGGAACAAAAATGTAAAAAGCTGTGCAATTGCAATATCAAAAGATAATGCATGAAAAATGAAGAACTTTCTTTTTTTGTACAATAAATAAAATGTTTATAGTTAGATTATAGAAATACTCAACAAAACACCCATTTACATGTACATTTTGGGTGACAAAGATCTAAATTTCAAGTCTCTTTGTCCTCGTGGCCCAATGTTGTATACTGAGAAACAACAAGGAAAAAGTTTGTTAAGATGAACATTATTTGGTTATGTCTTCTATATACTAAGAGCCTCGGTGGCCGAGATGTCTAAGTAGTCGAACTATTGTATCACTAGCCTGTCATCTCTGAGGTTGTGAGTTCGAATCCCGCACGGGGCAGGTACACTCGACTCCAATCTTAATTGACTAGGAATGTCAGTTTTTCTACAGGAGGTCGGTGGTTTTCTCCGGGCACTCCGGCTTCCGACCAACTGACATTGATACACATCAAGCTCATTTCATCTACAGTAAAACATGGTTATCTTTCGTCAATGAAATACAATATATGATTTGAAAATCTGACATAATTCTTGGTATCTTTCAATCAGTGATTTTGATCATTTTTATTTCATTTCGATATGTCATTGGGCTTAGTTTCATGTTAGTTTGTGTTTAACCATTCACTGAAAGTAGATGTTTTCAAGTCCTGTAGTTGATTTCCCGACAGGTGTTGATGAAGGAAAACAGTTACTTAATTAACCACATCTGCGCAGTATCTTTAACTCCACCATTTTAAATCAGTATAGACATTAAAAAAGTGCACAATTTCTGTCGAAAATGGGATAAAAAATACAAGTGGGGCAATTAAAAATCAAACGTCTCCCCGGGTCACCCCTCTCATTCTGCACTAAAAAAAAAATAAAGACAACACTAGATGTATACGTACAAGGCACATGAACCTCAACTTTAACCAGTGGTTAACGCATGTCAGTAAGAACAAATTTCAGCATAATAACCAAAAGGTCAAACCATATGATTGACTATAAACTGATTTAACAGTATAACATTTTGTGATTGGATTTGGTTGCTGATTTTAATCATTTTATTATATTCATATCGTGCATGTCATAGAAAAGTCTCAACCGTAATTACTCGGTCATATTCGCTACGCTTACAATAATGTACAATAACTTTATTGCAGATTGAAAGAAGTTATATTTCGATGATTACCATCATTCAAAAAAGGAAGTACATGTACTGTAACAAAATTCCTTCATTGTCCTCCGAACCAATAGTTTCAGCTTGAAAAAAGAGAGAAAATAAAAACGAATTTTAAATGAACATGAACATGACCATATATGTGAGGCAAATGTTCCTCTTGCTATCGTTTTCTTAATATGCCAAGAATATCAAAATGCCAACCCCGCACATTTTCATCTTCCTCTTCCATGTTAGCAGTGGTCATACAACACGTCAGTGGGCGGTAATCAATCAAACTTTCTGTCATGTCCAAATCTTTTTGACAGCTTTTTTTAGATCAATTACAAGCAAACCCTCTTTCTTTTAGAAAAATGCTAAATTTAGGCAACAGTAGTTTACCGATGTGCAAATGTCATTAACCGATAAAGAAAATTTAAATCATGGTAACAAACAAAAACTGACAAAATTGCATGACCTCCTACGGAAGCAAAACCAGTGCATCGACAGTGTAAATGTTCTGATATGTATGCACGAGAAATATATAGCGGGGACATGAATTTCGGGGCAAAGGAATTCTGTTTACTTTTCTATCATCAATAAAATCGTATATGACATGAATTCGTATTGCGTTGTGATGTCCTGTGGAAAACCTGCATGACGATCCTGCATTAAGAATACACTGTAACGTAATTTAGCGACGAAAAAAGAGAAATGGGTGCTCAAGCATTAAAAACACTAGGTTTTCTATTTGCAGGTTAACTTTGAGCATATGAACCCATATTTTTTCTTTTGCAATCGACTATGTACTGATTTAAGAATGTTATTCCGAAATTGCAAGAAACATTTCAACGATTGATCTCTTTATATGCATTAGTTTTAGCAAGCAAATTGTCCACGGCTTTTATTTTCTATAATCGTATGATTTCACAAAAAATATTAACACATTAAACCTTTATTAAGTAAATTAGGGAACACTTTAAAAAAAAACGGAGTGACAATATTTCTTTCCGTTAACGTTGGAAAGTTGAATTATTTTTTTGGAAAAGTATTGCAAAATCAAATTTTGTGTTTTTTTTATGAAACATGCAAATTGCACACTGACATATCTCGAAATGTAAGTCATGATGATATATCTATCACTGCATATTTCGTAAGTGCATATAAAAATTAGTTTTATGTCAAAATCTTGAGGAATAAACAACCAGGGATTTATTTTCTTATGCCCTTGAGATCTCAGACCTCGAAACCATGTCGATAGTGAGTTACATGTAGGACACAGAAACATCGTAGCAGACAACCGATTCTTTTTGTTTACCGTTAACCTTAAGAGGTATCAATTTAAGGTGGCTCGGCCCTTTAACAGTGCGCATATTTTAACGCATGTTACTAACGACGAGCGCCTTGGAAACGGTCGCCTTGAGGGGTTTTCTCAAAAATAGTTTTGACGACATTGGAACGCGGGCGTGTATGAAAGCACCCTTTCCCGATGTCAACAAACCATGCAAAACGTTCTACAAAAGCCACAAAACAGGAAATACGTACGGTCAGGACTACAGAGTGGTTTGTTCATTTTTCACATAAAAAGGACAGAATTAAACATGATATATTAAAGCATAACATTAAAAAAAAGAAAATATAAATATTGACTTGTACGACGGTATCTGGTGCGTTCGCTCCAAAAACACATTCTCACCCTACACGTTCGCCCCTTGGATCCGTTCGAACCCTATTTTCATTTAAATACTGGTTGAATATATCAAAAGATGTCTTTTAGATGTATTAGGTAGTATATATATGAAAATATTTTGCCAATGACGCAATGTTTAACCATAGATATAATAGCCATAGATAAAGTACTGGACCCACATCAAAAGCAGATGATATTTGCCGAAATTTTTTCACCCTCTTATTATATACATGTCACGCTTGGTGTTAATTAGCCTTCATTGGCAATTGCCGTCGATCGATATCTAATAAATTGTGAATCGGGAGACTTTTAAACACACGAATGTGCTACGTAATGACTTTTAACCATAATAAAAAAATGACTTTTTTTTAACTCTGCCAGGTCCAAAGCTCGGATGAAATAGGAGGGAAGTCATGAGAAGTAAATATTGTAAAAGCGCAAATGTCCTATATAAAAAGCGCAAATGTCCATTTAAAAAAGCACAAACGTCCTATGTAAAAGCGCAAACGTCCCGCGCCGGAAGGGATATATAGCTGTATTTATAGTACGAATCACACCTCTAACACAATAGTAAGAAGGAAGAGGAAAAAACCACGAATGACACAGGACAAAACTCCTATATTTTCATTTTATCATAGCCATTATAACGCTCAATCTATATATTGTTTACTTCAAAAATGAAACCGACAATCAGATTATACCACCATCTATTTAATAGCAAAACAAGCACAAAAATGGTAAGCGGAAAGGTATATAGAAGAAACAAATTCAGAGACATGATTGTGCTATTTCCCAATTAATTAATGTATTCAGTGTGTCCACTAAATACGTTTTCTTCACCAAACGGCGTTTAATAAGTTTATAATGTATTCCTTTTTTTTCTCTTTATTTTCTAAAACTTCGTGTTACGACAGAAAGTTTCAACACTTGTAATAATCTTTTTTCTTTTCTAAAAAATAATAATTTCTTCTTTCTGGCATAAAATATGATTACACTATTTGGAATCTCGATAAAAAAGAAATTTCTTTAACTCGCCATAGAAAAATTCGACCAGGTTCGACCTCTTAACCACGTATACCATCAGTAAACGATATGTCTCCTCTTGTCAATCATACAGGTCTTATTTTCCGAGTGCAACCGATGCAA